TTCTGCTTATCTGTTTTATTAATAGAAGCTTCTAATTTATTTAAAGCTGATTTATGCATCAAAGACAATGAAATGGAGCCTTTTCATTTTCTCTCTGGAGATCCAAATACTATTAATTATGCACAGTCTGTCTTAAAAAGAAATATCGAAGAAATAAGGATTTAATATTTCACCTGAAATTTATGCCATTTCCACCACGAAAATCTGATAATACACAAACCAATTCGTCACCAAAAGATGGATACGAAAATAGCCGCCAACTTAATATAATTGCGAGGTCAATCTTGATACGTAAGAACCTAGTACTTCTATGGAAAGAAATTGGTTACTTTGAAATCTGTGAGGATATCATTATTGTCCGGAGCGAAGCGGAGGACTCACATTTCAATGTTAAGTGATGACTAAAATTACGTTTTGATATATTTTATTAAAATTATCAAAAACGTAGTAACGCCCCTGAAAAGTTTGATCTGCGACAAACATGACTGGAATGAGGCCATTAATCAATATAAAAACTTTGAGCTCCGGATTTGTACCGGCTTCCTATTTCTAGCAATTGGGTAACTTTTATGTGCCATAATAGCTAATAAAATTTTTGCATAAATTTTATATATTAATAAATTTTATATATGTATTATAATTATACAATTTTTATATAGTAAAATTTAGTTAAAAATTATATATAAATTTTATAAATTAATAATTTTGCATATATAAAATAAGATTTCGAATCAATAAAGGCAAAAGGAGATTTAGATATATACGTGAACTAATACACGGATTTATTTTTGTCCGAATTAGCCCGATCGGAAATGTCGGAAGGTGATTTTCAAGGCAAAGATCCATGCCTCAAAATTTTACTAAGGTAACCCTTATTGCGTTACTACTGTACTAATAAGAAAATGATCCTCTCGTATAACCCAACCCTAATCTTAATTCAAACTCTAATTTTAACTCTAACTCTAATATTAACTCTAACTCTAATTATAACTTTTATTTTTATCCTATCATTATATTTGTTAAATTTTTTTTTTAATATTTAGGGGAATACCCCGGGTGTAGCACCCGTTATATTTGTTAAATATTTAGAAATTATTAAATAATATATATTATTTATAATTAAATTATGTAAAAATTATAACTATGTAAGTCTACATTGGTTTATAAACTTACGTATAATTTTTAAATAAAATATACATAAAGTATTTACATAGCTTTACATAAAAACAACTTTGCGATGATGTTTATAGTTGTTAAAAGAGATAGTATTATTATTCAGGCTTTTTATATTTTCTATTATGAATTTATACTATTAATACACTAACATATAGATATTGTTATTCTTACATTTTTATATTTTTGCAAAATTTTTGGTATAACTTAATAAATCACTCAAAAGCTGCTCAAGCACTAATTGGAGTCTTTATTTTTAATATACTCTTAGCAAATAATATCTCAATAAGAGTTTCATTGCTAAAAAAAAAAAAAAAATTGCATATTTCAATGAATTTCATGGGTATAGTGTTTGGGTCCGTGGATATCCGACTATTTTTTGGCTCAATCCGCTGGATTTTTACACCCGATCATAAAATATCCGATAAGATCTGTTGAATCCGGTAAATCTATTTTTAAATGAATGTCTACAAAAAAATATGTAAGTCACTCTCGTAATGGTGAACTCTCAATATAGTGAAGTATAGTTATTGTGAGTCGAACTCAAAACCAATTTATATGAAATTTTCTGATATAGTGCATTTAATAATAGAATTCTCAATTTTTAAAAATATTACTAGTAGAATCGATCATTTCATTATAACGAGTGTGACTTATATAACTTATAAATATATATATTGACGAAACATTAAAATATTTATACAAAGAATTCTTTATTTAATAAATTGCTAATTTAAATTGCTAATTCAGATATTTTCAATTACATAAGTTACTTTTAAGTCTAATTTTCCTACATTAAAAGCTTGTTATTTTGTTTCTTCTGTTTTTGTTGTCCCAATTTATTCGTATACAGGAATTTACAGGATAGAAATAATGAAGTAGAAATTTAATCATTCACCCGAAAAAACCTTTTGTATTTCTTAATAATTAACATTACGTCACTGTTTATTTTATTACCGTTACGATTAAGCAATCATCCCTGGCAACTATTTGCGGATGATCCAGTCGATATCCGAAAAAATATCCACCGGATTAATATCCGTCGGATCATCCAACGGATTGGTTCAACGGATCCAAACACTACATGGGTATAACCCAATTTACTGACAAATTTAACAGGTTTGATAAAGCAGACATCAGCGAAATTCTACAAAACTTATTTTATGAATTAGTAAACTTTTTAATGACAACAATAATTGATCAAACTTATCAAGAAATAAAATAGTTGATACATCATTTATCTGAAAATAACTACGTACGTTATTTATTTATATTAAAAGCAATTTCTAGCATTTTAATTCTGAAACCCTCCATTACATACAATTTATGCAATTTCATTAACTAAAATTAATTTACTCTAATACGATATTTTTCTTATCTACTACAATAAATAGAAAACCATAAAAAAAATATTTTTTTTGATAATTTACTACAGAACTTTTACATTAAACCTGCTTGCAACAAATAGGTTTCAAATAGCTCACTATATTTTCCCGTTACATATCTTGTTTATACTTTTAAATGTACTGTTTTTAATTAAAATACCATGCTTATCTAACGTATAATATATATGATTAAGCTTTAAGATTCTTCGCTAATACTTCACATCGTATAATTTTTACACCAAATTTCGTACATAAGCCAGATATAAAGAATGTAATCATTATAATGCAGCTAATTATCGGATAAATACCTTATGTATCTAATAACACGATTGAAAGTATTTGCTAAACATAAATTAGAAGGGGTACGAAAAATAAAAAAAAAACACTTTTTATTATAACTATCGTGCTTTATTGATTATTGTTATAAATTTGGTTTAGTGCTCCGATCGGGTTAACCCGAACAACCCGAAACCAACCCGGTTATAGCAAATCTATTAGATGGGTCATGACCCATATAGTAAATCTATTATAATCGGGTTGGTTTCGGGTTGTTCGGGTCAACCCGATCGGAGCACTAATTTGGTTAAAAATGCATTTTATTTATTTTTTATTTATTTATTTACTTCTTTAATTTTATATAAGTCTTTAAACTTAGTGTATTTTTATTTAAATTTGGTTTGTTTAACTACGCAAATACGTATTGCATGTGGTATATCACATGATTTTCAAAATTTTGGGTGGCTTAGCTTACTCTCTTTATCATCAGGGTCAAAATGTCGGCATTTTTGCGGCAGCACCCTCGATTGTTGATAACGCTAGTGCTTTTTATAATAAGCAAGTCGTTAGACAATCCGATATAGTCTATATCACTATGGTACACGTCTTCTTTCTCACTATACTGTATTATTGTATGTTTACGTGATCAGAATAGTATATAGTTATTGGATGCGAAGCAGCCAATAACGGAAATTATTTGTAAAATAATTTCATTATCTGGCTGTGAAATTTAATATGTCAGCTTCTGGGGCCCGAAGGGGCCCAGAAATGATACATATTAAATTCGCTGCCAGATAAACAAGTTATTGGCTGCGTAGCATACAATAACGGTGTTATCCGGTGGTTTACGACGATTGTGCTTGCCAAATGACTCGAGTTTTTGGTAGTGATTATATAAAATTTAGTATGATGTCTATATGTCGTTGCCGTATGTTGTTACAGTATTATGATCTGCAGCTTTTAGTTACACCGCATGTCTTACTGTACTGCATAACGATATGCTTGTCTGCCCAAAATAGCCATTCATTAAGTATTTCGGTAACATTTCGATTCAGTAAACTTTTTACTGAAAATTTACCAAAAAATTTTAAAAGTCAAATAATATTAGTTTAAAGTATGTTATGTTTATGTTTATTTCTTCCTTAAGAAAACAAAATGAAACATGTGTATCTCTTATTTTCTATCAATGTAAAAATCAATGTTTTTTTTAAAGAAATTGACCTTCGGTACGATGGGATTTACCGAAAGTAAGCATTTTCACAGTCAAAATTGTTTGGTAGAAAACATTTGTGTTGCATGTTTTCGTGTAAAACTATCTGCAGCAGCTTCGGAAATGAGAGATAGTATACACACCGTGATTTAATCATTGCTTTACTAGTTTAACAATTAACATAAATAACAATAAACTATTGTCGTAATGCTATGACAAATCCCAAACCTTTGTCTAAATCATTGAGTATTATCAAATTTGGTCACTATCAAGGAATGAATAAGACTTAAAACTCGAAAATTTAATATTATGTAACTAAGGAAATCGAAAAATCATCTGATTTCCTATTTTTTTTTTTGGTAATTGTACTACTATAAGGACAGTAGGGGTTTGCAAGTATAACAAAGATAATGTTGTTAATATTGTTCGTGCAGTTAATTGTGATTTCAACTTTGTATTTGTACGACATTTAAAAGCTTTTTGTATTTCTTTGTGATTTGTTGTTTGAATTCTTAATATAAATTTAAATTATGCTCATACATTAGTTAAATAATTTTCTGTATCGATAATAAATTCTGACTCTTTTGGCAAAGTTATTCGTATGATTCTTTAAAAAGCTTTACTTTATAGCTTAATAACAAGTGAAATTCATAACAAACACACTACATGCGAAATAACACACATATACGTATTATTTTAATTTTCTAAGCTTATATTATTACTACATTATAAACCAGCTAATATATTATATGAAGTTTGAGTTATTTCGAGATGCCTTCATGCACGTTATTTTGAATGTTGCATGCTACTTTTAAAGATAGATTTTTAAAATAACGCCCACGGTTGCTATTTTGTGGTTTTACGGTAGCAACTTTTTTTTACAGATTTATTATAAAATGTAATAGCCTTCTATAAAGAACTTGAGCTTTTTACTACTGTATAAGCCAAATAACCAAATGTCTGTTGTATTATTTATTCTTTACCTGGTTAATACAATTTTTGTAGAATCAGTACTTCCAATTTATCATTTTTCCGCTCTTAATTATAGAAATTCCAAAATTGGGATAGTCTTACTGGCGTGCACTTATTTGTGCGAGTGATACAAACCCAAAAAGAGAAATTAGCCAATCGGAGAACGTAAAATGTTATTATCCCGGATCAGCCCGACATGTGAACAAAGCGAGAGAAAAATAAAAAAAAAACCGAAAATACAAGAAAACGGGCGTTTAAATCGACCTTGTTAGACTAATAAAAATAACGGGGATGAAATTTTGCATATAAGAACCTATAATTTAATATTAAAGCTCACAACCCTAACACTAACCCTAACACGCTAACCGTAAATTTTAGCTTTACAAACTTAGTTTATTTTTATGTTGAGTTTCCTTTTGGGGTTTGTATCACTCGCACAAATAAGTAACTGGATTATGATAATGGCATGTGATTTTTAATTATGAATCCAAAATTGGAACAGATGAATCGCATAAAAACGTGTTTTTGCACGTTTATATACATACGTATTAAAACTGCCCTGTAAATCAATTTGTTAATTTACAAATACTGATATATATAGTATATTTTACTTAAGTTCATTTTGTGGATCGTTTTACTATACAAAGCTCTTATACTTATGACGACCTTTTTTTACTGAATAGGTATCTATTCAAAAATCAAATAAAAATTTTTTCAAAAAATTGTAAAAAAGAGCTGTTTTAATACGTAACACCCCATATCACAAGCAAAATTGGAAAGTTTGTGAATAGAATGAAAGTTATCGATTCAAAGATTAATTTCTTTGTACAATCACTTTTGTAATCTGAAACAGCTAATGCTTACATTTTTCTAATTGATTCTCTTTTAAGGTTTGTGTGAATGTGCTTATTTAAGCAAACGGCGCGTTTCTGGGGAATGCTAACTTTCAGCAAATTGTTATCTTTTGCATGAATCTTTCTCAGACATAATTGGATAACAAAGTTTGATTGATAAGATTTCCAATGCCATAGAAACGCGAAATAGTGCCCACTTGCGCGTGATTTAATTATTATTACAAAATAAGAGTTGATTTCATGAAATCAGTATATCATTTGTCACACGATTAAATTATATGTAATATGGAGATGGACATTTCGAGACGTCCATTGACGCTAATTCAAGGCATGTATGCTGTTTTTTAAGGATGAAATTTCAAAACAATACCACGAGCACATATTTCGCGCTTATACGTAATGATACTACATTCTGCATAAAGCCGATGATTTGTAAAATATTGCGGCACAATATAATTTCTTTTTCTAATACAATATTTTAAAAGTAACCGTTATATTATTAATACTATTTTCCTCTAAAATAAATGCACTAATGCATAAATGAAAATTGTCCTTTTAATCTAACATTACTTTTATTGCTTGACGAAAACCCTGATTACTATATTAGTAAAAATACTCTGATCCGTATGTGTACAAGCGCAGGATATTTTTATTACAAATGATGTAATCATTACATACACAATACTCGCGTTATAATGGACTAGATATAAATTATAACAAAATGGATTTCCATCCGATTGGTCTGTTTAACAAGGGTATAGTATTTTATTTTATTATTTTACCTATCTTTATTACCGCACAAAATAGTTTGTCTGATAATCGAGTGCATAACACATTTATACGATATAATCTTTTATCAGCATCTTGATTTTTATTAATTCATCTGGCAATCTGATTCACGGCACACAATGATTCGTTTTCAAAGTTTCGTATTAATTTATATACTATAAATTATAAAATATATTTGCCATGGTGCTATTTCCTAAAAATAGTAATAAAATTTCTCGAAATAATAAAATCAATATTATACAAATGAAAGTCGACAATAGATATACAACATATTATAAGAAGCTATAAATAATTATCAGTAAGGCACTGCCCGATCGTATCTTTATTTAGACATGAATTTAAAACAATTGCATAAAGGATTGAATTTCGGTGATAACCCTAACCACTGAGCAAGTTACAGCATTATATGATGGATTATAAATGCCATCAACTGACTTATTATTCGACGAAGGCGGTAGTTAAAATGTTATTGCTGAATTAAAAAGTAATTTGGTAGACAAGTGGCCACTAATTTGTTTATAAAAATGCTAAATTTTTTCTGCTCGTTTTCAAGTGAAAACTTTTAAAAGATTTATCATACATTAATTTCTTTACCACGCTCAATAATCAACAACTAAATTGTGGATTTTTAAAAGAGATTTTAAATTTTAACAACTATTATTATAACTACTGTACAACTATAATTTCAATAGCTAATTAACAACCAATCATTAGTTGCAAGATTACAACATTGCTAAAATTATTTGCTACTATTCTATATTTTACTGATATGAGTCAGCAAGGGGGTCAACAAAATATTGCTGCACAAACAAATCCATCTTTAGAAAATCTTACTCCAGATGAACAATCCAAACATTTAACAGAAGGGAATAATGATCCCTTTCCAAGAGAACAACCAGCAATAAATGAAGAAAATCCCCAGCTTCCGACCATTATTTGTGGAATTCCATTTAATTAATAAAGTTTGATTTCACTAATCCTTCGAAATAATTAATAGTACGAACGTTGCCATTATTTTTCTTTTTTACAACTTCGAATATCTTTAGATTCATTTTTTTTTCTGATTTCATTTCGATAATTGTTTTATTATGGGTTTTAATTATCGGTTTATTCCTTATAGCATCTCGAAATTTGTTATACAATTTAGAAATCTTTAAATCACCATAAATTAATACTGTACATATACAGTCAAACCTCTCTATAGTCAACCTTTATATAAGCATATCATATAAAAATTTTCTTTATAAGCGCATCTATTTTAAAACAAACTATTATAAATATATAATAAAAAATTCTCTATATAAGCACAACTCTTTATAAGCATATTTTTTTAAAAAAAGCAATAAGAATTTTTTGGCATGATTATAGAGAGGTCTGACTGTATATATTGTAACTATTAATTTTCCTGTGTCTCCCATTTCCATATTGCCTAATTCTTTAATTTATCACTTATTTTCATCATAGCCATGTTAGTCTTACCTTAGTAGTATTAGGCATTATATAATATACTGTTCGGTTTATGTGGTTGTTGCAGCAAATACGCGGAAACTACCGTGAGTACGTTGTAGTCATTTGTCACTCGACTACCTGGGTACAACAACTACGGAAAACACTATACGGGTTATCGCTATCTAACCCAGTATCGCCATAAAAAATTAACTACCCCAACGACACCCCGAAAAATTTTTCAAAACGTGACCACAAGCCAATCACAGTTGAAGATCAGGTAACGTAACTAGTGTTTCGGGCGAAATTATATATTTCGCCCAGGCGAAATTTCTGATATAGGGCGAAATATATTTCGCCCAAAAGCCTGAAATCCGATAATTCCGAAACTGGCGAAATTGGCAAAATGTCCGAAATCTGGCGAAATGTCCGAAAATTGGTGAAATGCCCGAAAATTGGTGAAACTGAAACCTGGCGAAAGTTCTGAAACCTAATATTAGATGTTTTATTAAAAAAAATACCTAGAGTATAGTAAAACAGAGTGTTGTGTAGTGTTTCGGGCGAAACCAAAATATTTAGCCCAGTCGAAATTATTTTACGCTGGCGAAATGTTTTCGGACTTCAAAAAGTGCAAATTACTATATATTTTGCAGTTTGAATCGAAATTATTCGCTCTGGTGAAATTATTTCTTATTGGCGATATATTTCGGATTTTAGAAATTAATTTAGCCCGAAACACTAGTGTTGAGATATCTTCACTCAAGTATTTAAAAAATCCAAACCATCTACCAAAATAAGAGCTGCACCAAATTGTTGCTAACTTTTGAGCAAAGATATTTCGACACCCACCAAGCCAAATTCGATGGACTTTTTTTTTATGAATCTGTAGAATTCAAATAAAAAAGTTTCATTGAATTCGGCTTGGTGGGTGTCATGATATCTTCACTCAAAGATTTAAAAAATTTAAAACATCTATCAAAAAGAAGAGCTGCGCCAATTTTTTTTTTATCGAAAATGTTTCGGAGATTTCACCATTTCGGTTTCACCGGGTTTCGGAGATTTCGCCAGGTTTCGGAAGTTTCACCCATTCGCCCATTTTGAAAATTTCGGATTTATTTCGCCTTTGGGAGCATTTCGGTTTCGCCTTTCAGATTTTGGAAATGGATTTCGCCCAAAACACTAAACGTAACATTAACATAACACGATCAGGAAAATTAAAAACAAACGTTCTTTTTGCTAAAAATCATCTATAACTCAAAAATCTGAATACAAAACACTCTTTAGTGCTCTAATGAAAAGTTTTCCTTGAGTGATTTTACTATATATCTTGATGGGTACTGGTCAAAATCCCGACAAACAGAATCCCGACAGGTCATAATCCCGACAAAAAAAATCCCGACAGTAAAAATCCCAACAAATCCCGATGACTAAAAATTATTAAGTTCATTTAAGTTAGGGTAGGGTTAGGCAGGGATGGTAAATGACCAGGTCATTTGACTATTTTGTAAATGACCTAAAATGATCTTAAAATGACCGGTCATTTAGGTCATTTGAAAATGACTCATGACCAAATGACCTAGGTCATTTATAAATGGCCAAGGTCATTTGGTCATTAGATCATTTGCAAATGACTCATGACCAAATGACCTAGGTCATTTACAAATGACCAGGTCATCTCACTAATGCACAATCACGTGACAGACTGCTGATCAATGCATGACAATAAATTTGATTATTCTAAAAAATGTTGCTCTAACTTAGAGTTATAATTTTACATAATTTAAATAAACTTGAGTAACTTTGTATAAGTTTCAGCAAGTAAAATATATGTACAGTACAGGAAATTTAACAACCTCAATCTCTATAGAGAGAATGCATAAACTAGTAATAAATATTCAATTTCATAAAGTGAAGGATAAAAGTTTCTCACGGAAACAATTTGCCAAGAAATAATATGTACTTAATAGTAACTATTCTATGTTACTGCTGAACCTTAAAATACGCTACTACCGAATTTAGCTTATCTTCAATGTTATTCTTTATAAAGTGATTAAGATTTTTAGATTTCTCGCACCGAATATTATAGTATATACAGTCAAACCTCTCTATAATCACACACTTGGGATACAAAAATATGTGATTGTAGAGAAGTGTGACAGTTATAGAGGGTTAATTTATAATATTTAATAAAAGTTTGTTTTTAAAAAAATATGCTTATCAAGAAAATATGCTTATATAGGAGGTGACTATAGAGAGGTCTGACTGTAACTACATAAACTTTTGAAAACATGACAATTTTATGTAAATCAATTACTGGTAGTAAATATATGCACCAAACTGCTAATACTAACTGTCATGCCATGGATCAGTATTCAGTGTATTATGACAAGAAATGTTGAGTTTCGAAGACTTGGGTCTCGTGAACTTGGTTCACGATCTTATATGACTACGTAATATATGTACCCGATGTTAAATCACAGATTTAATGCATGAAAGTTGATTATATTTAGTCGTTATTGTTTTAGAGTCTATTGTAGCTTGCATGATATTTTGCATAATTATTGTATCATTAATTTGTAGTAAAACTTTATATAAATAGAGTAGGGCTTAGTAAACCAAATAAAGAAGTTTTTTTTCTTGTAACAATCAAATAAGTGCAATAAAGTAAATACAAACCCGTTCGCTCTTATAATTTGTCCCGTGATCCTGTGTGTGGTTAAAAGCTGGTGTGGCCTTGGCTGTTAGTAAATCAGAACAGTAACCGGGGCCCAGCCTGTGTTGAACAAATGTGATTAGTATTTGAAGTGCAGTAGGAACCCTTCTAATGTGAACCCGCACGACACTAATATAGTATAAAATGCCAGTATTTTACATATCTTGAGAAATTTACTATTACATGAAACTGAATTGTTTTCTGCACAGAACAATTACTGTAATTACTGTGCAATATGCACAAAAAATAAAATAACATTCTGTATAAAAAATTTTTTGGTGCAGCATATTTGTGCTAAATTTTTAACAATGCTTGTACTAACCTTGACGTTAAATCCAAATACTAATGTTATTTTCAAATTACTCTAACAATCGAAATTATACGTATGAGTTGATACATTACAATACTCAAATGATATGATAATTTATTGTTAGCATCAATATTTGTAATCAAACAATATATATCATTAGGAAGATACCAGTTCTAATTCCAAACCCAAATAATAAAATAAATATAATACATATCGATATTACCTACATGAATTCTAGTGGGCATCAAACTGTAAAAGGATTATCTTTACTAATAAGTTAAAGAGATAGGGTGAATTATGTGATGTGGAAAATGATAATGTAGTTTGAATAATAATTGTTTTTTTTTTTTTTTTTGGTATTAAGGTGAGGCCTTGCTCGTATCTTTATTGAGTAGTTTATATAAGTAGTTACATAGAACGACTTCATTTGTATAATAACAAAAAATATAAATTACATGCAAGAATGGGAGCTCAGACTAAAAACTCAGCTAGGCGGCTAAGTTAGTTATCTGCGACCTAAACCTACTAGAGTGGTCAAGACTCACCTAGATTTTAGTAACAGACTTTTAGTATTTATATATGGTAATATAAAAGCTATATTTTTGATGTGATCTGATTAGAAAAAATTACTTTTTTAATATTTCTATATCAACTAAATAAAAATTAGATCAAAACTACAATTTGTAAATTTTTTGTCTGTCTGTATATATGTCACAAGATTTAAAAAAAAAAAAATCTATAATAAAAAAAAATCAACAAATGAATATAGTAGACCCACTATTTATTATATCTGTTATAATATAGCCTTTTTCTAAATTTTTAGATTTGTAAAATACTAAGTAGGAGCATGTTTTTTAATATATATATTTTTTTAAATATACTATTTACAGATCCAAGTTTTTTATATACTTTTAAAACTGTTGAAATAAGAGACTCAAGTTTTGTATATAGTAATTTATAGTACTAAGACAATACTTTACTAATCACTCTATAACAAAAATTATATAGATCTTTTTTATACTAGTTTATTAACTTATATTTCAGTCTGCTATATATTGTAGGGACATAAAACTCTTTTCTCTTTAAATCAGGGACAATTTATAATATTTTCATATATATATACATGTATTACAATATTTTAAAGAATCGTTAAATCAACAAATAAATTTACTTTACTATTTTATACTATAAAATTATATATTTATAATAAGTCTGAAGCATAGTGACAGACAATTACTATGTAATATTATATACTTATTACAAGTAGCATTTTTTACTATAATTTAGATATTAAAAAAATTAACGACATTTTCTCAGTTTTTTTCTCCTATACTCTTTTACTATTTGCACTTTGTTATAGCCTTTTGAAATTAAATAGTTTAAAAATGATGTTTTTAAGTGCACAAACTCAAGATACTGCTACAAAAGAAAGCCCTGTAGTGAATTCTTTCTATCAATATCTATTACAGTTTTTGGTAATATAAGGCTTTGATTTTTGTATACTATAATAGCCCAAGCAAGACATATAGGAATCTGCATACATAAACAAGTTTTAAATTTATCTTTCTATATTTATTAAATTGGTATGATTAGAATAATCTTTATACCCTCTAATATGCTTATAGTAGATCTTTTATAATCATCAAAGACAATAAAAACTACTATAAGAAGAAAAGGTAGACTTTGGCTCTCTTTAAATAAAATGTTCTAAATAGTTTCTATTGAGCTATTAACTAATCTAGCTTTTATTTACAGGTTTACTATTAATATAATATAAGAACCTTTGGCTAATAACAATTTTGCTTCAAGACTATTTACTATATCTGAGTCAGCATTTTTAGCCTTTTTACCACCTCTGAAATATATTGCAAAAATTTTTGCAACAGGTTTATTTAAAGATCTTAGTTTATTAATATTTATTAAATTAATATCAACCCAATTTGTTAGAATAAATATATTATTTGAGAATTGATTATATTCTGTTTTAGTTATATTATTCTCAAAACATATACTAAGTGTTTTCCAATCATCATTTATAAATTCTTCGATTTACAAACATAAGAAAATTTTTTTAAATTTCTGTAGTTCTTCTGAATCTCCAAATTAATATTAAACAATTTTGAGTTTATATACTTTATGAAATTGTTTATATACAATAATACTATTATTAGATATTTGATTTTGCAAAATATTCGTAGTATATATAGGTTGATCAAGCACTAGAGAAAGCTAACCAAAATTACCAAATAATATTATTGATTTTTCACCAAAAGGTTTATTTTTATACTCAGGAAAAGCTTGGCATAACTATATATTAATTATAGCAAGTATCTGATAGCCAACCATACTTTTTTTATCAATTATAAAATATTTTATATTTTGTAACCTGTTTTGCAAATTTTTAAGTTATTTATTAGTTATGTCAAGTTTGGTAATAATAAGTATTAAAATAAAAAGTATCAAGTAAATTGTTGCTCTATTAATGTTAAAAGCTACAATATCTGTTGGAGCATATACTATTACAGGTGAGTTAGATATTATCTCTTCTATTTTATAAAGTCGATATCTAATTGACTTGATAAAATGTGACTTTTCTGTACTAGCAGTTCTCATTATGATAATTCTAAGCAGCTCAACTTGACAATTCACAAGTATACTTTGGTAATGTAATTCTATTTGCTTAAAAATTAATTTTTGATTGCTATTTAATATTTGATAATCTATATTAGTATTAGAAGTTATTATATTATATTATATTCAGTTTCTATACCTGATATCTTGTGATTAGATACTTTTTGTATAAAAGAGGTTGTTTCTTCAAGATTACTATTAAAATAGTATTGTTAAGCATTATTAGTCTAATTATAATTTAAATTGATATTATGAGACCCAAAATTAAAAGAGTAATCAAATTTTGATTTAGGGTTTATTTTAGCTAGAAGCATCTAGTCAAACCAATATTCATCTAGTTCATTATCTTCTAGTTTTTCTTTGCTATTATTATTTACAATTTCACTTTTATCATTATCTACAGGTGAGCCAAGTAAGTCTATCAGATTGTTATTAATTTCTTTCAAATAGTTATTATATAAAGCTAACTATAAAATTATACTATTTTGAGTCAGCAGCTAAATATCTTGATAATGAATATGAAGAAGAATTTTTACTTGACAGAACTTCTCACAATTCAGACCTTTTCATACTGATAATAGTTGTAGCCAAATATGTATAATATTTTTTTGTTTGCATTTGTACCATCTGTTTTTAGTAAATTTATATATATATATGATATAACTGATATAATGAAAAATTTTCAAATTCAGAAAGTCAATCTCAATATAATTTTAAAGCAGATATTGTTATCAATCTAATATTCTCAACTTTATCAAAGTTTTTATTTTCTTTTATATCTATATTATAAAGCCAATACAGTGCTTCATTATTAAGATTTAATGAAACAAAAGTGTGATTTAAATGATAAAGAGTAATTTTAAGAAGAAGATAACAAGTTTTCTGTGTAAATATATCTTGTTCTGTAATACTATGAAGTAATAATTTCTGAACTAAGGCAACTAGTCAATTATTTAGTTTACTATTGTTAAGTATATGATCTAAAATTTCAAAAAATGCTACTAATTGTAGTTCTGCTTTATTTGTATATTTAGAAATATATTATAAAGCTATATGAATACTAAGAATAAGCTTTAGGTTAATATTTACTCTCTATCTTTGCAATTGAAGTTTGCTATATAGATTAATATATGGATTATTTCTTGCTATTACAAGCTCTGGATATTCATAATTATTATTACACAAAAAGTATAACTGCTCTCTTTTTTAAAATATCTAAATCTGCAAAACTGTTATTCTGCAAAGACAATTACAGAGACTATATCATGTATATATTTATAATTTATTCACTAACTCAATATAGTCTTGTAAATCATTATATAGTTCTTCATAATATTTTTAACATAGATAATAGTTAGAAACAGAAGTATTAGGATTTGAATTAATTGTAGTAACTAGAGAATCAATATATTATAATATTTTTTTTATTGAGTTTTTATCTTTTTTTAGTACTTTTTACTCAATTTTAGATGTATTTCTTATTTTTTCAATTCTATATACATGAACACTACCACAATATTGCTATTCAAACCTGTACTACTAGTCTTCCAAATCCTACTTTTTTACCAACACATTGTTAAAAAAAAATTTTAAAATATTTATTAAAGAACCAAATGGCAAAATGAGAATTATTAATAGTATTTTGGTAATAATTTTCACAAGATAGTATAAGTTTATGAAGCTCTGGCTAGTGTGAATTAGCAGTACTAAATATGAAGAAGATTAGTCCTTTTGAACCTAACTATTTGATTATATCTGATAATTCATAATATTTTGTATTCCAAAACTGTCTTGATTTGTATATATTCATATCAAATTTTATAATGTGGTTAGCTATATGTATATC